ATTGTAACATAATTTTTTCTAGTTTAATTCATTAGATTTGTGATAGTTTATTTTTTAATTTATTAGTTTTCATAAATGTTCTTGTATATTTACTTGTATTTTATTAACAAATTTTTAATATTTTGCATTTTGTTTTGATTAGCATGTGCTACGCATTGTGCTATGAGTGCGTTATTTGCCATTGACAAATATGCACTAAGAGAATAAAAGAATAAGAGCTTCAATAAGGAATCCATTTATACTTAAGGAAACAATTATTTATAAATATCTTTATAAGATTTCTATATAAAATTTGTCTACAAAAATTATTATTGATTGCCCATAAATTAAATCTAAAGCTTACTAAAGAATATTATAAGAATTTTTATGGATTTTCTACCACTCCCAAGCATTAAAAAAAGAGTAGCTATATATATTATGCAATGAACACCTTTCTATAGAGAGGCATTTTCCAGAAGTAAATTCACTGAATATTTTGGATTGAAAAATACAGCACCTATAAATGTATTGGAAATGCTTAGACTAAAAAGTTATATAAATGTTTTTTACAAATTTAAGATGTTTATTTTGAAGCATTTTGACATTTTGTTGCTTGAAAGAAAACAAATCTCAAAATATAAGGAATAAAGAAATTAAAGAAATTAACTAATTTAGTAGTTGTAAAAAAAAAAACTAATTTAGTAGTTGTATAAACTTTATAGATGTTGATCTTGCATTTGGATGTTATCAAATTGAGTTTACTATATTGTAATGGACAAAGTAGGCTGAATGAATTTAGATCACGATTTACGCCTTTAATTAATTTTTTTTTAATGTTTTGATTGATTATATTTTATATGAAAAAGTTGCCATACTCTCTAAAAAAAAAAATTCACACTCAAATTGGTGTTGATGCAACTCCCATTTTATCAATCAAACTTACGCCTTACTCCTTATCTCCCTTGTCTATCTCCATATTCTTCTCACACCTGATATAAAGAGGTTTCAACAATAACTTAAACTTATTGTTTTCCTAAACCTAGATATAAATAGGTTTAGATAATAAATAAGATGTTTCCCCAAAAGTTTTGAGGTATTAGTCTAAGCAGTTTAACTTATTGTGGGCAAAACCACTTATTAATTTGATGCGCAATTGTTCATTTTTTGCTTCACTATACAATGCGAAGTGGCGCTTTTATTAACTGGATCGCTCATAAGTTATGTAAATATGTATTTAACTATTTATGCATACGATAGATATTAATTTAATCAAATTTAAATCACACAAATTATTAACTTTCAAGAAATATAATTATACGTTCAATAACAATCATAATAT